TATTGTGTTGTGTGTTGCTGTATATTGTGTTGTGTGTTGCTGTATATGGTTAAGGAGCATTAAGTGTAGAACCACTAGACTGAGGAACAGCTTTTACCCTGAGGCTGTTAGACTCATGAATCTCTAACTAGAATAATCACTGTGAAAAACCATATCATGTTGCTGCTGATCTGTTTCATGTTGCTGCTGATCTGTTTCAATGTTGATGTGTTCATGCGTGCACATCTGCTCACAGACTCATGTTCATGTTTGTGCTGATGTTCAATGTTTTATGTTATGAGTGCTTAGTGTATATTTAGTTGATGTTTTTCTTAGTTCATATCTTAGATGTTATTACTGTTTTTCTTATACATTTTATTGTTGGATGTAACTGGGACCCCGTGTACATAATTTCGCTCCACCACATGTACCACATGAGGTGCGAATGACAATAAAGAAACTCTGACTCTCTGACTGACTCTGATATTGTGTTGTGGTACCTGGATGTGTTGTTGTATATTGTGTTGTGTGTTGCTGTATATTGTGTTGTGTGTTGCTGTATATTGTGTTGTGGTACCTGGATGTGTTGTATATTGTGTTGTGTGTTGCTGTATATTGTGTTGTGGTACCTGGATGCGGTCCTCGGGCAGCTCGGTCTTCATGGCCAGCAGCTCTCGGGCGTACACGTCGGGGTAGTGAGCGTCATGGAAGGCCTTCTCCAGCTCCTCCAGTTGATGGGACGTGAACACCGTCCTGCTCGGACCAGAACCAGAACTTTAGTCTCACTCCTTTTAGGAACTTTCAGCTGGTTTGTTCAACATCACTTTTTAATAATTTGTTACAAATAAATTATTGTTTAAGTTAAACGTGAAGATGTTTAAATGTCAAAACAAAAAATTAAAAAACAAGAAAACTTTCAGAACGTAACAAATTACTAAATTAATCTTTATTCATTGTTTATTTATATTGTTTGCTTATTTTATTGTTTATTTTATAACAGAAAATGGTTTAATTCTTTAAATCAGAAAATTACCCTTTATTTATAATTATTATTAATCTTTATGTATTTTTTATTATTAATATTTTTTATTCATTAACCTTTACATATTAATCTTTATGTATTAATCATTATATATATATTTTTTTTATATTAACATTTATCATTTACTTTTTCTTGGTCAACCTTTCTGCATTAGTTATTCATCTTTGTTTATTAACATTTATGTATTATTTTTTATTTATTATACTGTATTTATTAACTTTAACTTATTAACCTTAATTTATTAACCTTTATTGATGCATTATTCTTTAATTATTGCTATGTATTTTTTAGTTTTATTAACTTTAAATTATTAATATTTAAGTATTATTATTTATTAATTACTCTTTATTCATCTTTATTAATATTTATTTAATATTCTTTATTGATTTACTTTTATTACTAACCTTTCTTTAATAAACTTTATGGAATATTATTTTCTTTTAATATTTTTATTTCTTAGTCTTTATGTATTAATCTTTATTCATTTTTATTTAAAATTCTTTTTTCCTAACCTTTATTAATTAACCTTTATTTATCATTATTTAACTTATATTATTTATAAATTATTCTTTAATTATTATCTTTTTATTATTCTTTATTTAATAATCTTTATTTATAAACCTTTATTCATTGACCTATATGTATTAACCTTTATTTATAATTCTTTATTTGTAATTCTTTTTATTAATCTTTGTTTTTAAAACTTTATTTCTCTGATCTTTATTTAAATTTTATTTGTTAAGATTATTCATTAAACTTTTATTATTAATCTTTATTTATTATTCGTTTTATTCATCTTTATTTTTTATTTCTTTGTTATTATTATTTTTTAATTACCTTTCTTTCTTTACTTTTATGCATTAATCTTTATTTTTCTTTATTCATATAACTTTTATTACTTTATTATTTAATTATGATTTTTATTAACCTTTTAGTATTAACCTTTATTTATATAACCTTTATGTCATTAATGTTTATTTACGTAATTATTATTTATGAATTACTATTATTAGAATTATTCCTTAAATCCGTCAGACCTGCTGACTCCATCTGGTTCTGGATGTTTTTAGACAAATATTGTTTTAAATCAAACTTTTATGATTTTAAAATATTCAAAGTATTTACAAAAAAAAACTTCAAAACGAAGTAAAGAGTATTTAAAAAAATATTTTAACACGTTTATTTGTTTAATTATAAATAAAAGCTGGTTTAGATCTTTAAATATTTTTTTGTATTTATACAAATAAAATTGAATATTATTTATTTAGTAACTTTTTTTTATTGAAAAATGTTTTGTTTGATCTGAGCTTTAGATTAAATGATGTTTTTAAATTATATGAATGACATAAAGATAAAACTATAACAGTTTTGTTTTTATTTAATTTTAATTTTGTTTTAGTTATTTCTTGTTTCAGTAAAATGCATGTATTTATGTGTTTGTTTATTTGGGTTTCCGCTCCCGAGCCGGACTTTGTGGGTTCTGCAGGTTCCCTGGGTTCTTCCTCACCTGTGTCTCCTCTTCTTCCTCTTCTGGGAGGTTCCGGAGGTTTTGGACTCGGTTCGGTCCGACAGACACTCTTCATCTGCAGAGCGACACAAACAGAACTCTGAAACATCAGAACCAGAACCTCAGGGTCTGAACCATATGATGAGGAATGGAACAGAAAAGCTACAGGTCTGAGAAGAACCGAACCGGTCCGGAAAGACAGACGAGTGGACCAGAACCAAAAATAAATAATTAAAGATGGAAAACTTTAAAGGAAACAGAGCCTCAGGACGGTCCAGGTTCTGGTTCCGGCTCTCGGGCCCGTCCTAGAGGCCCTGGGTCCAGGTTTTAGAATCTGATCCGAACCGACCCGCTCCTCAGACCGCAGCTGCATTCTGCAACAGGTGGCTCGTGGACCCGGTTCTGGTCGTACCGGAGTAGGTTTCCCTCTGGGCCTCCAGCAGGTTCTGCTGGTACTGGCTGTCGGTTCTGTTCGGCAGCAGTGGCAGGTGACCCGGCAGGAAGCAGGGGGTTCCGGAGGGCTGCTGGGCCGCCAGGCTGCACAGGAAGCCTAGTCCGAGCGGTACCGAACCTCCCTGGAAGGAAAAGGCGCCGAGTCCACCTGCCGGCCCCTGAGGCTCCGAACCGGAGCCCGCTGCCGCCAGGCCCGAACCCGAAGTGCCGCCGGATTGCTGCCGAACCTGCAGGTCCGGATCCAGTCCCAGTAGGTCCGTGATGGCGAAGCCTTTGGACCGGAACCCGGAGCCGTGCAGGCGGGACTTGTCCATCCCGAACCCCGGAGAGAACATCCTGAGCCGGAACTTCTCCTCCGAACCGCTCATCCTGAAGACCAGAGCCGAACCTGGCCGGGTCAGGGCATTTTGTAGGTGCTCATAGGCCGGGGTCAGAGCAGCAGCCAATCAAATGACAGAACGAACAGGGGGCGGGGCTTAATCCCACCGGATTAATTTAACCAATTTCTCCTCAATCCGGATTAATACAGCAGGATGGGGTGGGGGGTGGACGCAGCACTCTGTAAACAGGATTAAATATTAGATTTTATTTTATTTATTTTAAAAAGACAAAAATGGTCCAATTTACAGAATTCATTAAAAGAACCAGCAGAGTCTTCTGGAGGTCCAGTCAGTTGTGGACCTTTACACCAGGAGAAAGACTACGAGGTGAGACCCCTGTTGAATGATGTGCCTGAAGGTCTGAACGTTGTCAGTGGTTATGCTCCACAGGTTGATGTGATGAGGAGGAGAAAGATACATGTTGGAAGGATCTGGATAAAGTGATGGAGAGAATTACCAGGGAGGAGAGAGTGATGATTAGAGCAGAACTGAATGGACACGTTGGTGAAGGAAACAGAGGGGATGAGGAAGTGATGGGTTTCGTGAGCAAAGGCTAAACAGAAGGTGTGTGATGGGGTGTACAAGAGGCTGGACACTATGGAGCGACAGAAGGACTTGTACTGGAGAGACAGAGGGACCAGGCTGGAAAGGATGTGCAGCAGGTTCTGTCAGATTCATTATCTTTACTGCTTCTTTCTTTTTGGGTCGCGGCGATCCCTGGTGCCCATATCCAGCAGTTACTGTGCGAGAGGCAGAAGACACACAGGACAGGTCTCAGTCCATCACAGGGACACATAGAGACAAACAACCATTCACTCTCTCACCTAGGGCCAATTTAGAGTTACCAATCAGTCTAACATGCATATTTTTGGTCTTGGGGAGGAAACCAGAGTACCCGGAAAAAAACCCACACAGCATGGAGAGAACATACAAACTCCACCCAGAAAGATCCCCGGCGGAGATTCGATCCAACAACCTTCTCACTGACGGGCAACAGCTCTACTCACTAAACCACTGTGCTGCACTGTGCAGCAGGTTAGACTTGTTAAAAGATAAGAATGGTAATGTTCTAATTAGTGAGGAGAGTGTGACGGGAAGATGGAAGGACTTTGAGGAGCTAATGAATGAAGAGAATAAAAGAGAAAGAAGAAAGATGAAAGAGAAAGAGGTCTAGAAACTGGACCAGGAAGTGGGAAACATTAGTGAGGATGAAGGTCAGAAAGATCTGAAGAGGATGAAGAAGGGAGGGGGTGAGCTGGGAGCGGGCTACAAAGTCTGACTGACTTCTCTAAAGTGTAATCTGGACAGGAAGTCCCTGCAGGTTTGGGTGGATCTTCAGGGTGCTCTCCCCTCTACTCAAAAGCCTCTCTCTTCTGGACCACGCTGATTTTTAGTCCTCAGTGAACCATTGTTTACTTTTGTTAAGCACTTGAAAGTTTTCTGATAAATCAGATTAATGTTTGATGTCACATGATTCAGTAATCCCTGGACTCCTTTAAAATGAACGTCTTCAGGTCATAATCTAGATTAATTTGCATCACAGTCTTCATTCATTGACAACTTTGAAATGAAGTTTTATTCTGTTTGGTTCTGGGTCTTTGGTTTCATCAGCAGAACCAGGTCTGAGGTCTGTAAGCAAAGAGACCACCAAGGTGTCTTATGTAGTGGGGGTTGCAGAGCACCAGTTCCAATACAGTAAACACAGCGTGCGGTGGTTTGATTCCTGATGGTAAACCATAGTTCACAGGTTCAGAGTCTCAGACACTGATCTCACTGCCTGCAGCGCCTCGACCATCAAAGCTTTTTATCAAACTAATTCACCTTCCAGTGTTGCCTGCGTCTTTTAAGTCACCATCACAGCCTCAGGTGCTCTTAAGGGGTAATCTCTGTGGTAGAATATGATGGTTAAATGTTTTTCACACAGGCCATGCAAATGTAATAAAATAAAATAAAATAAACCAGTTACAGGAACACCCGAGCACAGGGCTGATAATTACCAGAGCTGAGGATGTCACGCCAGGGCACAAGGCACAGGGCACAGGGCACAGGCAGGAGAGTGTATTCAAGAGGGAGGCATTTGCAACTGAAGACGATTTCTGTGGAAAAAGTTCAAGTTATTTAAGATATCTTATGATGGCTTATCTACAAGTCATGAAGCAGAGAAGAACCATTTGGTGTGAAATTGTTGCTCAACATGGAGGGCCTGCTCCAAACACGTAGTCTCCTGGAGGTGACTCCACCAGAAGACTCCTCAGTACAGGAAGGATTGTCCCCACTTAAAATCACAGATTAATGCGTGCCAGTGTTTACAATTTTCACCACATAGCTCGTTATATTGAAAGGAAGATTCTACTAAAAAATAATCTGTTTGGATGATCGTTTGTTATGAATCTTCCCTAACAGGTTATTGCTAACAGGACCATACTGTTAGCAGGACTGTGCTGCTAACAGGACACTCTGCAAACAAGACCACGCTGCTAACAAAACCACACTGCTAACAGGACCACACTGCTAACAGGACCATGCTTCTAACAGTACCACACTGCTAACAGGACCATGCTTCTAACAGTACCACACTGCTAACAGGACCTCACTGCTAACAGGACCATGCTGCTAACAGTACCACACAGCTAACAGGACCTCACTGCTAACAGGACCATGCTGTTAACAGTACCACACTGCTAACAGTGCCACACTGCTAACAGGACCATGCTGCTAACAATACCACACTGCTAACAGGACC